CTAAGGTTATTCAAGAGCACTACAAAAATGGTGCAAAAATAAAAAACACGTTTCGCGCGCTTCGTGAACATTTCGGTCTCAACAACCGCCCAAACGAAACAACCATCGGTCGTCTAGTGCGTAAATTCGAGGCAACAGGTTCTGTGGCAAATCTGCCTGGCTCTGGCCGGCCAAGGAGCGTTCGCACACCGGAAAATATTGCTGTTGTGAAGGAGAGTATGAGAGACGATCCGAAACAATCAACAACGCGTCGATCCCAAGAATTGGGCATTTCGAGAACCAGTTTGCTCCGCATTCTCCACAAGGATTTGAATGAACACGCCTACAAGATCCAATTGACGCAAGAGCTGCATCGGGCCGACCATTTTTCCCGCCGAACGTTCTCAGATTGGCTCCTTCAACACCGCCAAATTGATGCCAATTTTTCATCAAAAATCATGTTCAGCGACGAAGCGCATTTCACTTTGAATGGGACGGTAAACAAGCAAAACTGCCGCATATGGGCGAACGAAAATCCCCGTGAGTATGAAGAGCAGCCGATGCATTGTGGACAAAAGGCATCATCGGACCTTACTTTTTCGAAAATGCGGCCGGGGACGCCGTTACCGTCAATTCTGAGCGATATCACGTGATGATAGAGGACTATATTTTGCCGCTGCTTGAAGGAATGGATATTGACGATGTTTATTTCCAACAAGACGGTGCAACATGCCACACAACCAACGTCAATATCCATCGATTGCAGTCCTTCTTCGGTGATCGCGTGATTTCGCGCAGAGGAAATGTGCCATAGCCACCAAGATCGTGCGATTTGACTCCCTTGGACTTCTTTCTATGGGGATATTTGAAAAGCAAAGTCTACGTCAACAAACCAGCCACCCTCCAAGTACTCAAAGACAACATAATTTCCGAGATAAATGCCATAGAACCGACCATGTTGCAAAATGTCATTGAAAATTTCGACCATCGCGTGGACGTCTGTAAATCCAGTCGTGGTGAACATTTGAGCGATGTTATTTTTCATGCATAAATGGTATAAATAAACCTTCAAAATAAAGTACCCAACTCGATTTGAATATCAATCTGTCTTGTTTTAATATGCGTTTACTTTCCTGCTTCCGTTTTGGACAACCCCATATTTTCTTTTGTGGGAATAAAGACATTATTATTATTATTATTGCTATTATTATCCTTATCCTTATACCCGCCTGTATATAGCATAAACATCTGAATCGCGAAATATTTGCTTTATATAAAAAGGCATGGAATAGAAATTATAACTTCACAAAAAGGACCGATTCATCGGAAAATATTAATACTTCACAAAAAGTTTTTATTTGCTGTCTTTGCGAAAAACATCTTTATATAGACAAAACACTGCTGACTCTTCAATTCGCTGAAAGTCTAGCGGAAAACTTTTTGGAGAGGTATATTGTCCTTCGTAGAAGTGAGGTGAAACGGGAAGTGGGAAAGAAAAAAGTAAGCTTGACTGGATTTCTGCTTTCGAAATATTTTTTATATCAGCGGATGTATATGGGGTTCTCTTCAACAATTCGTTTGTATCACTTTCTATTAATACAGTCGACAAAGTGAAATAAACGGCTATGATTTAGAGATTAATGCTTCTACTCAAAGTTCAATTCGGTTTACAGAACTCCAATCTTCAGTATCCTTAATGTGACATGGGAAACTTATACTATGGTTTTTGTGAATACCTTATTGATCAATACATTTTTTATTTCTTGGTCTGCTGGTCTGCACTCCCTCCCCCCACGTTGTAAGATGTTTTTTATTTATATTGAAATGAGTTTTATAGCTAATGCAATATTCTGGTAGCACATCCTGAGAACAAAACATTTCTGAAATCTTGACATGCACAAAGAACAAACCCTCTCTCTGGCCATCTGTTAGAGCGAGTAGTAATAGTTGTATTTCATTCAAACATTGTCACTTTATCATTCAAAATTAAATGTGGAAGGTCATTTATGAAAAGAATAAATAACAACGGTCCCAACATGGATCCTTGCGGTACACCAATGCGAACTTTTTATCTGCCAGACACTAAGTTATCAATTTATCCTATAATATACTAAGTGACATATAAATCCGAACACCCAGTTTAAATGGTTTTTTTTAATAAAAGTTGGTGGATGTATTTATCTTACAATAAATAACAAGTGAAAAAATTTTCATTGGACATTTCGGTTTTTATACTGCTTTTTTTTAATTCACTAACGCTCTAAAAATGAATATTTCAGCCGCAGTAAAGAATCAACGTTGGCGGATTTTGGTTCTTGACATCCTTTACGATCGGTTACGATTCCTAGAGTACGGAGACCTGTACGATTTCGTCAACTTAGTGAGTTTGATAGGGGCCGTATAGTGGGACTTCGGGAAGCTGGACTTTCTTTTCAGGCAAGGGGAACTGGACGCCGCCGTAGAACAACAGACCGTGCCTGAGTTAAGGGATATATTACTCCAGAGATTCGTCTGGTCTAAAGTCATACCTGGAACGTCTAGGCTTTGGAATCAAAAAGAGAAACTCATAGATAGATAGACAGATGAATGTTGTGAATTCAATCTATCACTGGAAAATGACATTGGATACGTCAAGAAACTTAGCCACAGCAGTGAAGGAAATTATTAAAAATTACATTATCATCATCAAATACTACTTTCATTTCATATCTTTCATTTCATCGCATTTCACCCAGCTGCTTCTAGGGTGGACGAAGAACGTGTAGAGTCGCTCGTGACAAAAGACTCCCTAGGAAGCGTGAAATAAGGTGGGGCTCACGTTCACAAGGCGTATAAATGACGTCTGTAACAACGTCACGTATACATCGATCACGTGAGGTTGTTATGACAGCATAAAATGTAATGGATGGGAAGGAAGAAAATTTACCTTGGAGTGAGATCCTTATACCTTCATTACGCTTTTTTATCTGCTTTAGTCCTCCTCCTAAGTAAAACAAAGAGGATTCTTGAAAGAATAAATTAACTCGATACTGTCCCATGCAGTAATGTTTCCATATTTCTACTTTTACGTCCGACCATCTCCAAAAAGTGAATATGTGGTTATTTGGCAACCAGACAACAAAGTTTACTTTTTCAAAAAAATATTGATCGAAACAAACAGCACGAAGTGTTTATATATTACCAAAGTGGACCACAGCAATTCTGGTACTAGATGGCGGTTTGTACTGTGTATTTATCCAAAATATGCAAGACCCGAAAAATCTACGTTTGAAACGATTTAAATCTTATTCTTCAATTCTAAATTTAAGTAGCATTTGCCACAAGGAAGAGGTTGGTAGGAATTCCAGCTCTCAAGATTCCGTAACGCTCTTAGTACAGCCGTTTTGAGTTCACGAAGCTTTCTTTGCTTCTAGGAATATGTTATGGATTATCATGAACTATTCGGTAGTATGAAATATACTAAGTGACATATAAATCCGAACACCCAGTTTAAATGGTTTTATTTTAATAAAATTTTGTATAAGTACTTAATGAAGCATAATAAGTAAATGATAAAAATTTCAAAATGATTGCACTGCTTTAAAGCCCTTTAATAATGTGTGGATGCACCCTGATGTGCTATGCATTCTCCAACGCGCCTAGGCATGCTTCTGATCAGGTGGTCAATGTCCTCCTGTGGTATCTCATTCCAGGCAACCACCAACTCCTCTCGAAGTGCTTCTAGAGTCTGAGGAGGACGTTGCAAATTGAGCAATCTCCTACCCATCATATCCCACACGTGCTCAATTGGGGATAAGTCGGGAGATCTTGGTGGCCATGGTAACAATGTGACATCATTGTGTTGAAAGAAGTCTATTGTGACTCTTGCAACATGTGGTCGGGCATTATCTTGTTGGAAAGTTGGATCTGCCAGGGTGTCAAGATAGGGTAAAAGATGGGGTTCTAGAACTTCGTGGATATAACGCTGCGCATTCATGTTACCTCTGATGAAGATTAAAGGTGACCTGGAACCATAAGCTATAGCACCCCAAACCATAACTACAACAGTGTGATGAACATGTATTTCAACAAAAAACTGTGGATTCCTCCTTTCACCACGTCGCCTTCTAACCCTGGCACGACCATCGTGCATGTCTAAACAAAATCGAGACTCGTCACTAAAGACAATACTGTTCCAATCCTGATCCCAGAGTGACCGTTGTCTGCACCACTCAAGGCGATTACGTCGGTGTTCTCGAGTTAAAGGGAGGACCCAGTGTGGCCGGTATGAAAACAAGCCAAAACTTCTCATTCGTCGGTAAACACTTCGCATGCCAATAGGTCTTCCGTGTTCTGCAAACCATTCATTTGCAATGGACCTGGTAGTGGAGAAACGGTCCCTTAAGGCCAATAGTCTTAGGCGGCGATCTTCACGGTCTGTCGTTCTACGGCGGCGTCCAGTGCCCCTTGCTCTTTGCGTACGGCCTTCTCGAAGCCATGCCTGACAACACCTAACCACAGTGTCTACACTTCTTTGCACTCTAACTGCAATTGCCCGAAAAGAAGGTCCAGCTTCCCGAAGTCCCACTATACGGCCCCTATCCAACTCACTAAGTTGACGAAATCGTACAGGTCTCCGTACTCTAGGCATCGTAACCGATCGTAAAGGATGTCAAGAACCAAAATCCGCCAACGTTGATTCTTTACTGCGGCTGAAATATTCATTTTTAGAGCGTTAGTGAATTAAAAAAAGCAGTATAAAAACCGGAATGTCCAACTGATGAGGCTGAAAATTTTTTCACTTGTTATTTACAGTAAGATAAATGCATTCACTAACTTTTATTAAAATAAAACCATTTAAACTGGGTGTTCGGATTTATATGTCACTTAGTATAATAATAACCACCTGATACAAGCTATCAAATCCGAACAAATCAATGGTATCATCTGGCACTGATCTGTTATACTGTATAAAACTATTAGGAACTGTCAGCGTCAAGCTTATTTTTGAACTAGCACCCCAATTAATGCATTTAACTTACAACTGCCATCAAAGCACTCCTGATTTCGTAGACCCAGATGTAGCTGCAGTCGCTACCGAATCCGTGGATGAGCACCTTCGTTGGTAAGCTCTTGTTGAAGCCCTGCTTGGCCCATTCGAAGGCCTCGTCCATACGTTCAAACGGCACCTAAAACAGACCATATGGTTATCCATCTTATTTGAATAAATACACAAATATCACACAAATGAAGCACCAAAAAAGTAGAGAGGCAGCACCGTGTCAATGTTACAATTATTGCACTAATGATCGCTACCTATGATGCTTAAGTCGAATTTAAATTCTTTATTTTCCTGTTGATGTTGCAAAAACTTTCAGGAATTGTTGATAAAGCTTGAAATTACGGTTAAAATAACACTGAAATAGAACACGTGATAATAAAAACAAATTTTCGACACTAAACATGATAAATGCTTGTAAGAGGAAAATTCTGTAACAATTTCAGATGAGAAACCTTCTCAGTTTTTTTAAGGAGGTTTGTTTCTGACTTCACCTTATGCGGTAGGTTATTGAAAATTTTTAATCCTTAGCAATTTAGTAAGACTTGGCTGCATTTATAGTTAAGAATATGTAAAACTAATGACTGTGTATTCATGTCCACCTTTCAAAAAAAAATGATTCGCGAACATTTCAAGTGTAATACGGAGGTGCACCGTCTTTTTGAAGCCATATTCTATCGTTGGGCACTCTATTATTCACTAAAAGAAAACAACATTGATTATGTTTTATTGTTTCTGGTGATAAAAGCTACAAGGATTGGAAAATACAGGGTGGTCCATAAGTCCTTTGAAATTTCAAATTTGAATAAAATTTAACGGGTGTGCGTGAGCGGCGCGGGCGAGGTGGGGGCAGTATCTTCAGTGTCTGGTAATTCAGTCGCCATGGAGTGTTTCACTGGAGCGGATCGTGCTTTTTGTGTGCGCGCGTTTTATCAAAATAATGATTCGGCAACCATTGCGCGGCGTAAATATCGAGAATACCACAATTTACACAATTTTACAAAGTGTCCAACAGCTCAAACGATTAAGAACTGGGTTGCTAAGTTCGAAGATACTGGTTCGACGTTAGATAAATAGCGGTGGGGTCGACCAAGGACAACTCGTATTGAAGAAAACATCAACATTGTGGCACAGTCTGTTCGTCAAAATCCTACCCAGTCTACTCGTAAGCGTTCCAGTGCACTAAACGTACCCAGAACATCTTTACAGCTGATTTTAAGGAAAGATTTACGTCTGCACGCTTACAAAATTCAGTTAGTGCAGGAATTAAAAGATAATGACGCTATTCAGAGACTAAACTTTGCGAATGAAATGTTGAATCGATTTTCTTCGCTCAATAATGTGTTGTTCTCGGACAAGGCTCACTTCCATTTAAACTGGCACGTAAATAAACAAAATTGTCGTTATTGGAGCCCCGAAAATCCAAGGCGTAAGCATCAGAAGCCCTTATACAGCCCTAAAGTTACAGTTTGGGCTGCTATGTCAGCGCATGGCATCGTAGGCCCTTATTTTTTTGAGGACGACAGAGGTCGCGCATTAACTGTTACTTCGGAGCGGTAAGCAGCAATGATAGAAGAGTTTTTGACACCAGCGTTGCAGAATTTTCCAGGCTATAATACGCAGACCTGGTTTCAACAGGGCGGAGCAACTGCCCACACCTCCAACACTTCTATGCCCGTTGTCTGTCAATTTTTTCCCAGCAAAGTAATTTCTCGAAGAGGAGACATTTCCTGGCCACCACGTAGTCCAGATTTGACCCCAATGGACTTCTTTTTATGGGGCTACCTCAAGAGTAAAGTGTACGACACCACTCCGCGATCAGTTGATGTCCTGAAAGAAAATATCCGAAGAGAAATGGCAAGCATTACAGTGTTGACTTGCCGCGCAGTCATCGACAATTTTAGACGTCGTTTATATGAGTGCCGTGATCGTAATGGATTGCATTTAGACGATGTGATTTTTAAAACATAATTCCCATTCAATAAAGATGATAACAAAATATAATAATTCTTCATAATGTAACTAGTTTGGTTTTATTCCTTTTTTTCCAGCTCAAAGGACTTATGGGCCACCCTGATTTCCGCTAAAGCTGGGCCAACGTAATTCCTCAAAAGGTCAATCTTTCAGCGTTTAAGTTTTCATCCATGGAAGACGGACCTATGATACCGGCCAAAACATTAATATTTTGTCGACATTGTGTATGATGTTCCCATACCTAATGAGGATTTTCCCTGGCCCAGTAGCGGCAGTTATGGCGATTAAGTGTTCCGGTCAAAGAAAGACTTGACTCATCCGAAAACATTATTTTATTTCAAACAGATGTTCATTTCTATTGCACATCATCGGATGCTCTTGGACAAAGGTGACTCTGTAAGGATGGAATTTTTCCGTCTTCAAAATGCGTAGATATGTAAGATGTATTGTTATCTTAACCAAGTGTTCTAGTAGAAACGTGGAGGTTCTTCGCTATGCTCACTAAAATATTCAAAGCCTTATTATCGTCAAGTCTGTTTTAGAATGGCCAAATAGTGGAACATCCCTTACATGTCCCGTTATTTCAAGTTTCCTCAAAACTTTTCCAGCAGAAGATCTTGTTATAGGATTCCGCTTGGGATATTTGTCATTAAAAATATAGCAAACTTGTTGCTGTGTGCGTCGACGATCGCCGTAACCCAGAATCATCACAATTTCTATTCTCTCGGTTTGAGTTAAATGAATCATTCTCAGTAACTCTACTAACAAAACTCAATGGACTTTTGAATGTCAGAAATTACATTAAATACTCTCGATACCGGACATTACTTATTGTTTATACAGTTTATTGTTGCATAACTTTAAGATTCGATAGACCTTTTAAAACTAATGCATAAAGTCTATATAAACATGGGTCTAAAAATGCGTGGCTTCCGAAATACAGGGTGTTTAAGTTTACTTTCTAAAATAGTTTTTTTTAAATATTTCGAACAATATTTGATGTATAACATTGAAAATTGGTATACAAGGGTTTTTCGGTACGAAAAAACGAACCATGAGCATAATTTTACTGTAGACGCTAGAGGGCGCTCTCTACTGTACCTGTAGTGTATTAAAATGACCGAAAATTTTTTCTTAGTGCAATTTTTTGCTTTTTGAATAAAAAAACTGATTCTTCGCACTTTTCAGCATAAAAAAGCTTTCCTGTGAGCTTTTGTTATAGTTAGCCGTTTTTGAGATATTTCGATTTTTAAGGTTCGATGCATTTTTAATTATTTAGGTATGGGAAAATATTTTTTTTTACATTTTCGATTTGGGCATTACAAGTAATTAAGATGATCGTTTAGATTGTGTTTTTAAACACAGCAATAATTCCTAACTCCAAATAAACACAAAAAAACAGAATATTAATTTGTTTTTTCTTCCAATATTGTTTTTAACAAATTAAATTAATTATTTACAACTAAAATGCTATTGGATAGTTAGGACAAACATACAAAATCTAAAGTAGTTGCTCGAAATGTAAACCCAATTGTTCAATACACAATTCACATCTACGAACGTGGTATATCATTATTCAAATAAGGCCCTATTTCATCACATGCATTCCTGATTCTGTCTATTAGCATATCTATTGTGGTTACGGGAGTCTGGTACACTTTTTCTTTTAGAAATCCCCACACAAAGAAATCTAATGGATTTAGGTCAGGGGATCGTGGAGGCCAGGCGACTGGTCCTCCACGGCCGATCCATCTTTCTGGATAATTTTCGTCCAGCCAGTTTCTATTCTCGAATAATGAGCTGGACAACCATCAAGCTGGAACCAGGCCAATCTTCTTAAATCTAACATAATATCATCCCACATATTTGCATGTTCAGCCTTTAAAGATTCCAAGAAGGTCGCAGCATTTAATCTTGCAGGCAAAAAGTAGGGTCCAAATAGTCGATTACGGTAGATACCAATCCACACGTTCACACTAAATTCATGCTGAAAATTTCTTTCCCGAACTGCATGCGGATTTTCATGCGACCAAATATGTTGATTATGAAAATTTACCACTCCACGTCTAGTGAAGCATGATTCATCGGTCCGTAAAACGTTACTTAAAAACTCCCTATTATTATCAGTTCTATCAAGAATCCACTGACAAAATGTGATTCTTCGTTCTCCGTCCCCTGGCTGTAGTCCTTGCACAGGTTGCAAATGGTAAGGACGTCTATGGTCATTTCTAAGAACACGGTGGACATGGCTTGCTGAAATTCCCAAGGCACCAGAAACTCTCCTATCAATTGTGGTCGGATCTCTATCAAACTCACGCAGAATCATACAGGTAAATCTGCGCTGATCAACATTTATGTTTTGATCCCTTTGGAGATCTCCAAAACTATTTTCAATTATTTGGCTATGCACTCTTTCAAATACTGAGCGAGTTGGATGTCGTCTGTTTGGAAATCTTTGTGCGTATTGTCTGGCTGCTTCTGCTGCGTTTCCATTTACAAAGCCATACACAAAATGAATATCCGCTAACTCTTGATTGGAGAATAAAAATGGCATTTTTATAAAACTTACAAAAAAAAACAGGTAAAAGAAACTAAATTTCGTGCATTCACAATTGCAAAAAAACGTTTCAGGTTTCAACAGACAACAAAACTAACTGTCAACTAATTGACGTTTAACCTTATTCTGCTTTCAATTTCAAAAATATTTGCAGGCACAGCCTACTTCTAAAAATTATCGAGATACTGACTTTTTAACGTTATTTTATCATAAATAATTAAAAATGCATCAAACCTTAAGGATCGAAAAATCTCAAAAACGGCTAACTATAACGAAAATTCACAAGATAGCTTTTTTATGTTGAAAAGTGCGAAGAATCAGTTTTTTTATTCAAAAAGCAAAAAATTGCACTGAGAAAAAATTTTCGGTCATTTCAATACACTACAGCTACAGTAGAGAGCGCGCTTTAGCGGCTACAGTAAAACTATGCCCATGGTTCGTTTTGTCGTACCAAAAAACCCTTGTATACCAATTTTCACTATTATACAGCAAATATTGTTCGAAATATTTAAAAAAACCTATTTTAGAAAGTAAATTTAAACACCCTGTATTTCGGAAGCCACGCATTTTTCGACCCATGTTTATATAGACTTTATGCATTAATTTTAAAAGTTCTATCGAATCTTAAAGTTATGCAACAATAAACTGTATATCAATATTTGACCGCGAATATTTTGAACACTATGAGGTCTACGTTAATGTTGATAAAAAGTATTCAGAATTTCTCGCAAAATACAAATATCGGATAAAATGTTTTTTTATTTATTCCATGAGAAAAACAAAAATTGCTATCAGTTTCGGAAAAGCTGAATATTTGGCAACATCGCGAATCTCGTCAACGGATTCGCCGTCGAACCTAAACATATAATTTTTTTAAAAAATTAGATAAGTCATTCGTCAGATATTCGATGCGTTCCAATCTTTTGTTACAATCTGCATGTACGTTGAGTTAGAACGACAGTACCTGGAGTTTAAAAATAAAAGACTATTTTGATTCTTCTCTACTGAATTCAGAAAAATAAATATTGAATGTACTTCCTCCTCCCCCTGAGAGGAATTGCTGCAGGCGCACATGATCGTCACCACGACCAACCCCGCTTAAATGACGATATTGGTATTTCCCGTATGCAGTGCACGCTTGTCCATCGGGGAACGACGTCGCACGTATCGACAGCCTATTGTAGGAGATACTTCCCTCTAAATATAGTTTCAAGAGTAAATGTACATCTATGATGAGTGAAATAATAATATGAGCGCAGAATTACTGGGGATGGAGGCATGTAAGTATATCAATGGCAAAAAATTGAGATATGCACGGTAAGTCTAACTTACCTCTGCTGGAGGTGATCCACTTCTTCGTCTACTCCTCCCTGGATACAACCAGAATTTGGTGCTGATTTCCTCGGGTTTGTTTGGCAACGTGTCCAAATACCCAAAGGGTCCGGATGCTTCGAAACATCCGAGATCTGGATAGCAAGCACTGGGAACATCTTCTCGCTTGATCCTGGAAAAGAGTAGAAAGTAGATGGAAAAATGACGAGAGCGGCAATGGATCTAGCATGCAGTAGAACTTCATTAAAACCCTTAAATGGTCGATGTCTCTGCTGAGATACGGTCATATGGTACTGGCATGTATTTAAAAACCCATTAAAATGTAGCGAATTGGGCGAGGTATAGTGTGAGATACATTCACTAGCAACGATGTGTCGCCTATGCCGGTTCATTTTATTTGCAGTGGTCCGCATGGTAGGTGGTACTTTGTGTCATTGTTATGGATAATCAACAAGTTTTGACCCCGGTAAGCTCAATATAGTACAAATTAGTTATTACAGCCTCTGGTGTGTTCGTAATTATATAATTATGAAAGCTGATGCTTCCTTTGAGTCTTCATTGCTTTAGTTTTTCTTTGAATAAATTTTTGAGGTTAGTTTTTGTCTTACAAATGTGTGTATCCCTAGATGCACATTGCCCATTAAAAATAACGTAAGGCATTTGATACGCAATTTATGTTAGAATACATGGTAACTTCAAGAACTATTTCAAGGTATCGCTCCCCGCATATTTTACGGAAAAGCAGCAAATATTCCACATATTGTTGCTGTGCTACCACCGGACGATCCATGTGTACTATATCAGACGTTGGCAAATCATCAGATGAGGAGGAGCTGTTTGGCGGAGACTATAGCGATTTGGACCCCGATTATCAGCAGCCGCCCACATCTAAGAAGCGCAAATGCTTACCAGTAGTTGATACTTCAAGCGACTGGGAATCAGAAGATGATTTACCTTTAGCGAATTTTGTGCAAACATTGAAAGATAATGCTATACCAGGTGGTGATAAACGTTACACTTGGAGCAAAACAGATTTCCAACACATCAGATATCCAAAAGATGTCTTTTTTGCTGGAGTAGACGGAGAATATTCCCCTCTGGCTTATTTCGAAAAAATTTTTGACGATGATTTGTTTGAGCATATTGCACACCAAACGAATATTTACTCCACACTGACAACTGGGCGTTCTATTGATACCACAGCTAATGAAATAAGATCGTTTGTAGGAATTGGGTTGATAATGGGAGTAGTCCAAATGCCAGCAATCGAAGACTACTGGGCCATAGAAACGGGATATAGTATTATTGCCGATGTTATGCCTGTAAAGCGCTTCAAGAAATTGCGAAGACGCATACACTTTCAGGACAACAATACTGATCCGCAAGGAGATAGATTATTCAAAATTCGCCCCCTTATAGAAAAACTGCGACAAAAATGTACAGCTATCGAAGAGGAAGGTTTGTTTTCTATAGATGAAATGATGATTGCTTACAAAGGCAAGAAAGCTGGAAGTCTGCGCCAATATATGCCTAAAAAGCCAAAGAAGTGGGGGTTCAAGATGTTCGTTCGAGCAGGCGTGTCAGGGATTGTGCAAGACTTTCTCATCTATACCGGCTCTAGTACTTTTGACGAAATTCTATTTTCAAAGGAGGCACAACAAATGGGACTTGGTGCAAAAGTGGTACTTGTCCTGTGCAGAACTATTCAGAAGCCAGAAGAGTCTTTCGTCTATTTTGATAACTTCTTTTGTTCATTGGAACTAATTGAATACTTGAAGAAAAATAAAAAGTTGGCAAGTTTGGGAACCATTAGAAGCAACAGACTTAGAGGATGTCACTTGCTAAGTGACAAAGAACTTCTACGGAAGGGGATAGGTAGCTTTGATTACAGAGTAGACAATTCCGTGGGACTAGCGGTGATAAAATGGGCAGACACTAAATGTGTGACTCTGGCGAGTTCGTACATTTCGCACAGTCCAGTGTTTGAAGTTAGCCGATTTAGTAAAGAACAAAAGAAAAAGGTAAACGTTCAGTGCCCTCAAATAGTCAAACAGTACAACATTCATATGGGAGGCGTAGACTTATCTGATATGCTGGTTTCACTGTACATGACTCCCTTCAAATCAAAGCGACGGTATCTCGCTATGTTTAGTCAGATGATTGATATAGCTGTCAATAATGCCTGGCTATTGTATCGGAGAGATCTAGCCTCACAAGGCAAAAAATATATTAAGCTCAAAGACTTCAGAATAAACATCGCAAAGTCTTTGATTCAATCTCGTAACGTACCCAGAAAAAGAACTTTTGCTGCAGCAAACTTGCTCCCTCAAAACAAAATAAAAGTTCCCGTCGCTCCACGGCCTACTGAAGATGTCCGGTTTGACAACGTTGGACACTTTCCAGTTTTCACTGAAAAAGGCCGCTGTAGGCTTTGCACAAATGGACAAACAACAATTTTATGTCAAAAATGTAATTTGCGCTTATGCATCGTATTAGGAGTTAATCAGAGAAACTGCTTCACAAGTTACCATTCCAAGTAATCATGTTCCTCCTAGAGGCAATGTGCATTCGAAGATACAACTAGTATTTTTTTTTATTTTAATTTTTTTATCTAAACAATATTATTTTCTGTTGTATTTGATCAATAAAAGTTCAAAAAATTAGTAAGGACTTTTAATATAGACCTACTTCTATCGCTGCCCGTTTAAGGGTTAAAATCTTTTTTCTGGTCAGAACCCAGTGGCAGTTAACATAGGCGTACTGAAAACATTTCAGACATCTAAAATGTAAACTTTCTATGTCTAGTAGGATTAATAGAATTATTACACATCTGGTATACAGGAAGTTCCAATTCCAAATGTTAATATGAAATTTATTTTGAAATTCCGCTACAAATAAAGTCAGGCAAGGACGGCTGGCCCTTAAGTTCTGCAGAGCTGTAGAACTGCCAAAACTTTTGTCTTAACAGAAAAAAGCAGTAGTAATTTGATCATTATTTATCTTACATGTTATCACACAAATAGAAACAATACCGGCCTGTCCCCGCAAGACACGGCGTCGAGTCTGTTTGTATTGAGAAAGCAGTATAATCGACCAATTGTGTACTTGTCATTTTCGTCGCGACCGCAGCGTAACATTATTCATGGGCCACTTGAAAAGGGTATGTGCACTACTTCGACACAAACCGCACACGCTTGCTTTAGTCTCTCTCTCTACAAAATCAAATGCGCGATTTAAACATAAGCATGTGCTGCAATTTATACAGATCCGTACAGATCTAATGCGAAGTACGATACCTGATTGGTCGGTCGGTGCTGGGTCCTCGGCATTGACATATTGGTCTTGTCGCGTGACGTGGCTTAAAATTTGAATGCGAAAAAGTTTTTATTCAGGTATTTTGGGTCTTACGTTACGTTGAGTGACTAGTGACTCACTGACTGACTGAGTCTGTGTAGAAGGGTAGTGCAAGACAATGGATGTGGTTTACAGACTTATCAGCGTGATACGATTCTGGAAATGCACATTTGAAGAAAAAATTGAGCTGAAGGTGTCAGGTCGACCGCTGCCGGACATATTTATAGAAACACAGGGCGTTAGTCGGGACAAGGGCTATACGCGGCATTTCAGTAGGGAGATTTACACCAGAAATGACTGGATTTGTGAGTGCAACAGGAAGAATGCCCCTTTCTGCTTTCCTTGCATACTTTTCGGGGGTGACAAAGCTTGGATGGAGGTAGGTGTTACAGATTTAGTGCACCTGAGTGAAAAAATTAAGAAGCATGAAAACTCTAAGACACATCTTCATAATTCGATGGAATTGGCTTTATTGGGGACTGTTAACATCAGAGCTCAGTTAGATTCAGCATATTGGAGAAATATACAACAGCATAATGATACCGTTATAAAAGACAGGTACGGTCTATCAAAAATAATCGATTGCATAAAATTTTGCGGAGCATTTGAATTGGCGCTACGGGCCCTCGACGAAACCGAGAGCTCCCAAAACCCGGAAATATTTCGTAGACTGACTAATTTTTCTGCTGAGCTTGATACAACCTTAAGCGAACACATAAATAATGCTACAATATTTAAAGGAACTTCCGAAGAAATACAAAAAAATCTTCTGGATTGTATTCTTGAAGTTTGTCATGAAGAAATAATAAAATAGATTAACAGAGCCTCGTATTTGGCGATAATAGCAGATGAAACAATGGACATTTCGGCGAAAACCCAACTGGTAACAATTGTCAGTATTTAACGGCGAACCAGTAGAACGTTTTTGGAATTATATGAATCCCGAAAAATGTGACGCTGATACTCTCACAAGACATATTTTGAGCGTTGTAGATCCATGATAGGAAATTTCTCTAACAAACTGATTTCACAAAGCTATGATAGAGCCGCGGTAATGAGCGGACATAATGCTGGAGTACAGGCAAGAATTAAACAAAGATATCCATTTGCTCACTATGTGCATTGCTATGCGCATCAGTTAAATCTGATTATGTCCCAAGCTGCTTCGGCAAATGCTCAAGTTCGGGTGTTCTTTGGGGATTTGAAAGATATTCCGGGATTTTTTAATAATTCTCCTCAACGCGCAGAGGTACTGAACAGGATTGTGCGGAAAAAATTCCACAAGGAGCAACAACTCGTTGGAATTTTAATATTCGAACAATACATGTACTGTTTGAGAACAGAGAATCACTCATTGAATGCTTGGAAGAAATAGAAGAAAATTTCAGTAATGAAACCGTTTGCAAGGCAGCTTGAGGTATTCGCCGTATGTTAAACGATTCTGTTTTCGTGTTTTGGTTGACATTTTTTCATCATGTCATGCCTCACGTCGACATCTTGTTCAACCAGTTGCAGAAGAGAAAAACCGAGCCATCTCAAGTTATGTGAGAAATAAAATTGATGACATAATAAATGAAGCCAAAAGTATTTACACTGAACCCCAAGGCAACAAAAGTAGTCCATGGAAAAGGAATTTATTTCGACCATGGAAAATTTCAACGGGAAGGCGATCGACAAATTTGTTGCCAAGAAGCAGCGCAGGATCTAACTGACATATAAAAAATAGGTAAGTTCGGATTTGCAGAACGCCTGTTTTATTTTGCCACGAGCCGTCACTGAAGTCAGGAAAAAATTAAATTTTGATTAATTTTGCTTTTTCCCGTCTCTCTCCTGAAGTACTGTAAATATCGAAATTTTCTAAGCGGCACTTTGTAAATTACCTGAATACGCAACTTTGCCTACGTTTAAGCGACTTCGTATCTATCACAGATTTCGAGATCCCAATGGTCAGAGTCGAACTTGAAACACCAGATATATTATGACATATGGGTATATCCTCCGAAGCCTGCTTCTGTCACAGGATTCTATATATTTATACTGAGTGATGTATTTATTTATTTATTCCCAACAGGTAACACCCAATTTCAGGAACAATACAATAAAAAGTTACATAACTAGCAACAGCGGTAACGCTGAAGACAAAAAAAAACTAATTCTCACTGACAACTTAATAACAAAGTTCTCACTATCAAAAAATAAGTCACAGGAACTGCAAACAGAACTGAAACATGTACACATCATATTTACCGAAGATCTAGACATTACAATAGTATTACCAATAACCGGATAGAAAGTGATTTGAACACGATTTCCCAACCTAGGAACACGAATATTACTTAATATGAATGAACAATCAACTTGATTGTGTATGATTTTGTACAAAAGATGTAGCGCTGATGTATCGCGTCTAAGATGCAATAATGACTCTATATCAAAGATGTTTAATAACATAGAATGGTCAAAGCCTCTTTTAGGATAATTGCAGTAACATTCGTAATACAAATACTTTAAAGCCTTACGCTGCACATACACAATACTAACCCTTGAATTGTAGGCTGGAGACCAAATTAATGAAGCGTATTGCGGCTTACTTCTAATAAATGTGTGGATGATAGAGAAGCATTCAGTTATCGCATAGCAACCCTCTGTTGCGTGAGTCAGTGGACTACACAGTCGAGCAAGTTCGCAAGCACAAAAGGCCGCGGCTCGCACTGTAATCAAAACTAACTCGTGAACTTAGAACAACCAAAATTGGAGCATTTTTACACAATCTTTAGAAAAAAAAAATCAAATATTTTTAGACCATTCAAAATCTGTGAAGTGATTTTAACAATGCCTAAACGCTGCCTATCCTAAAAGATTATCTTCTTCCCCTTTGTTCTCGTTCTTCCTTATCTCCTTTCCTTCCCCTATTTCCTTAAAATTGTCTGGATTCTGGGTTACCAGACCTGACAGACTTACAAACTGACACTGTGACTCAAGAGCAAAGGTCCCACGGACCGCTCTGACAACCAACGATGACTTGAAAGCATTCAGTTTTCGTACACTTACGGTGTCAGTTAAATGTCAAATCTCGTGTCCCAGCTAGGTGACTTTGAGGGGGGTCAAATTAAATATTAAACAACAAATTATTTTAAGGCCTTTGAATATGATTTCAAAAGCCTGGTCTAGTATCGAAATGCTATCGAAATATAAGTAATATACTAAGTGACATATAAATCCGAACACCCAGTTTAAATGGTTTTATTTTAATAAAATTTTGTATAAGTATTTAATGAAGCATAATAAGTAAATGATAAAAATTTCAAAATGATTGCACTGCTTTAAAGCCCTTTGACCTTTAATAATGTGTGGATGCACCATGATGTGCTACGCATTCTCCAACGCGCCTAGGCATGCTTCTGATCAGGTGGTCAATGTCCTCCTGTGGTATCTCATTCCAGGCAACCACCAACTCCTCTCGAAGTGCTTCTAGAGTCTGAGGAGGACGTTGAAAATTGAGCAATCTCCTACCCATCATATCCCACACGTGCTCAATTGGGAATAAGTCGGGAGATCTTGGTGGCCATGGTAACAATGTGACATCATTATGTTGAAAGAAGTCTATTGTGACTCTTGCAACATGTGGTCGGGCATTATCTTGTTGGAAAGTTGGATCTGCCAGGGTGTCAAGATAGGGTAAAAGATGGAGTTCTAGAACTTCGTGGATATAACGCTGCGCGTTTATGTTACCTCTGATGAAGATTAAAGGTGACCTGGAACCATAAGCTATAGCACCCCAAACCATAACTCCAACAGTGTGATGAACATGTCTTTCAACAAAAAACTGTGGATTCCTCCTTTCACCACATGGCCTTCTAACCCTGGCACGACCATCGTGCATGCCTAAACAAAATCGAGACTCGTCACTAAAGACAATTCTGTTCCATTCCTGATCCCAGAGTGACCGTTGTCTGCACCACTCACAAACAAGCCAAAACTTCTCATTCGTCGGTAAACACTTCGCATGCCAATAGGTCTTCCGTGTTCTGCAAACCATTCATTTGCAATGGACCTGGTAGTGGGGAAACGGTCCCTTGAGGCCAATAATCTTAGGCGACGATCTTCACGATATGTTGTTCTACGGCGGCGTCCAGTACCCCTTGCTCTTTGCGTACGGCCTTCTCGAAGCCATGCCTGACAACACCTAACCACAGTGTCTACACTTCTTTGTACTCTAACTGCAATTGCCCGAAAAGAAAGTCCAGCTTCCCGAAGTCCCACTATACGGCCCCTATCAAACTCACTAAGTTGACGAAATCGTACAGGTCTCCGTACTCTAGGCATCGTAACCGATCGTAAAGGATGTCAAGAACCAAAATCCGCCAACGTTGATTCTTTACTGCGGCTGAAATATTCATTTTTAGAGCGTTAGTGAATTAAAAAAAAGCAGTATAAAAACCGGAATGTCCAACTGATAAGGCTGAAAATTTTTTCACTTGTTATTGACAGTAAGATAAATATATTCACCAACTTTTATTAAAATAAAACCATTTAAACTGGGTGTTCGGATTTATATGTCACTTAGTATACACAACGGACGGTCTGATGTCAGATAACACAGAGCCACGCACACTGATTTGAGAACAAAGCTGAATGACCATTATTTTATTTCTTTAAATTTTAGTAGAGATGTAATGTGATGTAATAAAAATCACCTGTTAGTTATGTGTTTCTGTTGCTTCTTACGTTCCCAGTCCTTCATAGAAGTAAGTATCGCCCTGTATATCTCAGCATCATGACGCTCATCCAAAGCTTCTAATGCGGGAGGTGCCCGTGTTAAATCTGCTTGCCCTGCAACAAAACGAAAGTACTGTTAGAAGGAACAGCGCTACTATTTTAAATTGATGGCTTTGTGATCTACCAAAATTGTGTTCGTATAACTTCTGGGTCCTATTTCATAAGAATTGTGTAATACGTACAAGAGAACTCACAACTTGCACTTATACAATATAACGTGTTCCGTATAAGTTTCAAGCACAATATTCTACTACTACTCCATACTTTACAAGTTACAGGACCATATTCGTAAGTTGACTGATTCACTGGACAACAAATTTTATTTTTTTAATTGTATCTTGTGGGAAAAGTGCACTTCTTTGTTAATTTTGGGGCGCTGAATACAAAAATGACAATGAAATAAAAAAATTAGTTGCGGTTTAGAAAAAAAACTTTTTATTTTTGAGGTTATATTAAAAAAAGTAACAAGAATCATATACTTATAAGAATCACTATATGCGCTGTCTTTTTGCTGTTCTTTTATGGATGGTTTCTGGAGCATCTCTACCATGAGTCCAACAGTAGTCTGCAAGCATGGAAGGATTCCACTTTCCCTGGTACCTTTTTCCATTGTTGAAATATCCTGATGAAAACGTTCGCCGTGCTCATCACTTGCGGCTCCGCAATTGTCAGGAAAAAAGTCCAGGTGTGAGTGTAGGAAATGTATATTAAGAGACATATTACAGCCCATCTTTTGATACGATGACAGCATATTTTTGACAAGGGTTTTATAGTTGTCAGCTGTTCTATTTCCCAAGAAATTAGTGACCACCAGACGGAAATCATTCCAAGCAGTTTTTTCAATACATGTTAAAGTGTTTTCAAACTGTGTATCTTTCAAAATATTTCGAATCTGTGGCCCAACAAAAATACCTTCTTTAACCTTTGCCTCACTTAGTCTTGGAAATTTCTGACGCAGGTATTGAAAAGCTGACCCATCTCTATCTAATGCCTTGACAAAGTTTTTCATTAGGCCCAACTCGATATGCAGTGGTGGTAATAAAATTTTTTTCGAATCTACTAATGGCATATGCTGTACATTTTTTTGACCTGGCTCTAGGAATTGACGAACAGGCCAGTTTTGTCTGGTGTAATGAAGTGCCTTTGCCCGACTGTCCCATTCACACAAAACACAGCAAAACTTTGTGTAGCCTAGCTGCAGCCCACGTAAAAGTGCAACAACTTTCAAATCGCCACAAATATGCCATTGGTGCTCATAGTATTTTATGCATGTCAATAGGTAACTCTGCCTTACATTTTGGAAGCTCTAAATCTCTTACAAGATCATTTAATTCTGACTGTGTTATTTTGTGCGGTTGGTAGCATGGTGCTCGGTATAAAATCAGGATCTCTTGACGTTGATGGCATATCTTCTTCCTGACGAATCACCCGATCGTCATGATCTAATTCGTTTTCTGATTCGCAAGTGTAGGATTCTGGGGGTTTTGGAATAGGATTTTCGTCACTGTGAGGCACAGGTCTCATCGCAGATGGTATGTTTGGGTAGTCAATAACCGATTTTTTTTTCACGACATACCTGTGGCTTGTCCAACACAAGGTACCATGCAAAAGTAACAATCATTAATATGATTTGCAGGCTCTCTCCAAACCGTTGGGACAGCAAAGCGCATAGACCGTTTTTTGCTATTTAACCAGCTCCTCAGACTTGAAGCACATGTACTACAGCAGATGTGGGATGCCCACTGTTTGTCTTGATCACCTAGTTTACAACCGAAATAAAGCTGATATGCTTTTGTTATTAGTGGAGTAATAGACCGTCTCTGAGACGCAAAAGTCACATCACCACACACGTAACAAAACTGATCTGGATTGTTTACACACTTTCGAGACATCTTGCATGAACGCTGTCAGCCAACTGAGGAAAAAATGGCTAATATAAAACAATACAATGTACACGTATGTATAACGTAACACAATCTTGCTGATTACATCATATTTCCTTGCCGAATATAAAAATGTAGCACGTGCATTCTTGTGAATTACAGTATATTAACACATATAGCAGGAACACATATAATTACCGTATCTCTAAAACTTGAACTAATATTGAAAAAATAAGTTTCATTCCGGTTTTAGCACATTAAAAATAGTAATATTTTGTTGATTTTATTTAGGATATTTTTTGGCTGTTGATCAGTGTTATGTTCCATTAAAGTACAAGTTGTAGTATTTGTCTGGTTATTCAAGATAGAATAGAGTAGAATAGAATAATGCTTTATTTGTGTGAGCCTGTAAATAGGATACAAAACATCAAAATAAAAAGGAAATATGTCGATAACTAATATATGACATGAAAGAATTGGGATACAGAAACACATATAAATATAACGTGCTACTCGCACAAAAATTCATTTGTATTATAAAATGCCTTATTTAGTAAGAGGTTCCGAAGTTTACTTTTGAACAAAGATAAGCTGATAATCTGCTTAATATCTGAAGGCAATTTATTATACATGGCACTACATAAATACATCGGACTCTTCTTATAAGCAATAAGGTTAAAATTTTTAATATGAATATGGGTCTCATATCTAGTATTGTAGGCGTGTATTTCACTGCGTTGTGGAAATAAATCTGTGAGTTCTTTAACAAATAAGCATGACTCGTAGATCAATAATGACGATAACGTTAAAATTCTTTTATCTTCAAATACTGGTCTACAGCTGTCCAGTACGTTGAGACCAAATACTAATCTAATCAGCCTCATTTGCAGAATGAATATTCTCTGTATGCCACAAGAAATTCCCCTATATATAACCAAAAAGTTCATGTGACAGTACGCCATTGCAAAATAAGTGTTAAGGAGACACCTAAGAGTAACTAGACCGCATAGCTTTCTTAATGCAAAGTATGCTGAGTTAAGCTTACCAGCCACATCTCTATGTGTGTGTCCCAGGAAAGTGTTTCGTCTATGTAGAGACCCAGAAATTTGTGTATTCCCACCTTCTCTGTGGTAGTACTGTTTAGCGTGATAGTTGTGTCATCTGCGTACTGTACTACTATGACATCCTCACCAACCAAGCTTCCACTCATATCAATTATAAACAACAGAAACAAGAGAGGTGATAATATACATCCCTGAGGCACCCCAAGTCAAGAGCCAGGGTATATCGCCCACTATCTACAGACTCATAGATGTAACTTAAAAGTGTGTATTTGTGGATAGTCTAGGCCTAAACCCGTGTTGGTTTGGTGACAAAATTCAGTGTTCGTTGATAGAATTGTTCAGTCTGCGGTAGACAATTGATTCAAATAATTTAGAAAGCACGTACATCTACTACAAGATATTCCAGATTGGTAGAAAAGAATAGGACAAGCTTTTTGGTACAAAACAGAGGCAGATGATAGTAACTATAACAACACTGACAGAAAAGGTCAATATACACATATATTCGGAAAATTCTGTTTTCTTTTTGTTGCTCAACTTAGTACAGAATTCTAATTCAATGAATAGTAACTTGGGGGACTTGAGAGACAAATCAAGTTCAACATCAGTAACTATGTTCCGGTCTCATCTCGTAAATACTACTCGAAGTACCCCCGTAGCTCACCAAACCCACGAGTTCAAAGCGCGCTCGCAGCGAAGGAATACGGCTCTCCCCCCCCCTCCGAACGTACCTGTAAGTGATCTTCTATTCTAATTACGAGCCACTTCTCACTTCAGTTGGCCCAACTATTGAAATCTTAGTTTTTTTCTTATTAAACACAAATAATAAAAATGTAGCAGGGTGTTATAGGTTTAAAATATTAACAATGAATATCTTGATAATATATAGTAGAAAACACCAACTTTATCACTCCCTAATCAAATTTGCAGCATAAAAATGACACATGTTGCAATTTTATAAGAATCGCTTTTACCAGTGATGGAAGAAAGTTTGACATGCGGCCAAGATTTTGTGTTTCAGCAAGATGGTGCATCGTGTCATACCTCAAAAAAGGCTATAAAATGGATGGAAGAAAATAATGTACCACTTTCGAAATGGGTTTCTAGCAGCCCACATCTGTCACCTATTGAAACTTTGTAGCACGAGATGAAAAAGACTCTACGACAACATCCTGCTCGTACAATCACCGAACTTAGACAAAAGCTTCAAGAAATATGGGATTGTTTTACACCAAATCTTTGCCAAAACTTGGTTAACACTATGCCCCAAAGAATTGCAACCGTAATAAAAAATAAAGGTGATGCTACACAATGGTAATCTTTCAATTGTCGCTTTGTTAACTTCGCGCATTTATTCGCACATTGTTTATTTGTTCAGATGTTCTATTAGTTATAGGTCTAAGTGATTTCAAATATGTATTTTTTATGACTAGAGGGTATCTAAAATGTTTTTAAGAAAATAAATGGTTTTAGAAGTAAATAGTTTCGTCATGCTTAGTTTATAAAGGCATATTTTGGTACACATCTTGAAGTGGGCCAATTGAAGTTGGAAGGGGCTCGTATGTATCTCATCGAAGTAAATAGCTCCCTCCCTCCTTATGTATGACAGCTTGTAGGTGGCCAGAGAGGAGGAAGGTAGGGGCGCGACGAGCCGCTTTTCTTCGCCGCGTGCGCGCTTTGAACTCGTGGGTTTGGTGAAATACGGGGGTACTACGAGTAGAATTTGCTTCGACGAGACCCTCACATAATTAGCATCAAACATCACCTACAGGTAAGTTAGTTTGATCATGCAAATATGACTAATTCTGTACAAGTTCAGCAGATACTAAGCAGTTTTAAACGACTCAATACAAGCACTATAATTTTGTGCAATTCTTTTTAATAAATTACAATAGATTTATTTTAAAATATTAATTTTATATAGATTACAAGTTTAACTATTCTATTGATAGCTTCCCCTCTACTTTTTCCAACGTTCCAAATGAGAAGATATCGTTTTTGATTGGATTTACTTCTTACATCATCAGCTCATCATTCAAGGAAGGAAAAGTATCACATTTAAATGATGAGCGGACAAGGAAGTTTTTTGAATTGACGCAAAAAGCAACTCCTAAACGCTGCCAATAAATCTATCGATTAAAACGTGTCTG